CTCCCAGAAGCGCTTGTGTACTGGAGGCTGGAGTAACAGTTCTCCGAATGAGGGCACCAGCCCTGTGTGTCTCCAAACACAAACCAGATGTATGCAAAGCCACCCATACAGAAACTTCCGAGTGACAATTTCATTGCTTTGAAGAGAGTAGCGTGCAATCTGGAAGCATTGTGTCTCCGTCCGCAGCATAGTGGCCGAGGGAGCAGGATAGCAGGATCAGCCTTTTAGCCTCGGGTAAAATGAAGGGCTGAACAGGTCAGAAAGGCTGCAAGAATTGGGCTTGTTCAGCCTGGAGAAGAGGAGGCTCCGAGGAGACCTCATTGCAGCTTTCCAGTATCTGAAGGGGGCCTACAAGGGTACTGGGAGAGGACTTTTTACAAGGGCCTGTAGTGACAGGACAAGGGGTAATGGGTACAAATTGAAATCAGGGAGGGTTAGATTAGATATCAGGAAGAAATTCTTCCCAGAGAGGGTGGTGAGGCACTGGCACAGGTTGCCCAGAGAAGCTGTGGATGCCCCATCCCTGGATGTCTTCAAGGCCAGGCTGGATGAGGCTTGGAGCAATCTGGTCTAGTGGAAGGTGTCCCTGCCCATGGCAGGGGGGTTGGAACTGGATGATCTTTAAGGTCCCTTCCAACCCAAACCATTCTGTGATTCTATGATTCTGCATTTTTGAGCACAAAGGAGAAGTGTAAGGAGCCCTTAAGACACAAAGCAACTTATAAAAGAATTGGAAAGAACAATCATTTTCTGCATCAGCACTTGGGGCACACACTAAGCTGCTGAAAGGTGCCACCATGTGTGTCTGGAAGCACCCTGCCTTTTTGTCTCCACTGGAGGAACATCCCCAGGACACCTTCCCTGGCAGCTCTGCTCTTCTATGCTCTGCAGAGCAGTAGTAACTTGGAAGCCACAATATGAATACGGACACACACAGAATAGGCACAGATATACAAAGCCAGGAAGGGAATGCAGAAGTCTGTGTACAAAATATTGTGCAGTCCCTGGAAAGTCCTGTAATTCTGCCTGATGTTCTAGGAAGTCATTAATGGCCACTGATGTGTTGTCAGGGCATATTGTCATACATAACTCCTCTTTAACAACTGCACATTATAAACGTATGAGGACACGTGTATAAATGAATCAGTGCAGAACTCCCACACCTGTCTCCTAAAAGCAGATGGAATAGATACAGGATTAACAATAGTTTGCCCAGCATTAAAAACATATTGAAATCCTAGAATCCACATCACAGAACGGTTTGGGTTGGAAGGGACCTTACAGACCATCCAGTTCCAACCCCCCTGCCATGGGCAGGGACACCTTCCACTAGACCAGGTTGCTCCAAGCCTCATCCAGCCTGGCCTTGAACACTGCCAGGGATGGGGCATCCACAGCTTCTCTGGGCAACCTGTGCCAGTGCCTCACCACCCTCTCTGGGAAGAACATCTTCCTGATATCTAGTCTAAATTTCTTGACATCTGCTGTACTGATGTCTTTCTATGGGAAATATAGGCTATTAGCATAAGCAAAGAAAACCAATTCCAGGCATCCTAAAATTGCTCAGATGGCTTTAAGGACTGGATTGGGTTGCTTGTAGTCAGAGGCCTAGGGAGAACACAGCACTCAGCTCACTGCTACAGGATTTGAGAGGGGTAGGACATGGGAAATGGCAATGGACAAGTGGTCAGAATTCTTCTCCTCCAGCTGGGTAATTAGTTAGAAGTGTGCTTGGACTGCTAGAAAAGTTTTGGGGGACAAATGGATCACTTACATAATACCAGTCCCAGGCCTGGACAAACTCCAGATAGACTTTGGTTTAAAAGAAATGTTTGGAGAGTTCTTTGCTGTCTTTTGAGTTGTACGATCATTTATATATATCTAAGTTTGAGCTGTTACAGTCTGTTTTGGTTTTCTTTTCTTTTTTTTAATCAAATGACAAATTATTTAAATGGAAGTAGCTTGTAAACACCCTAACACATATATAATCAAGCGACCAATTAAAAGCAGACATCAATTGGACCCTATTTCAAAACCAGCCCTTTCTGAATCTCTGCTGTTCATTAGCTTTATTCCTTACCAGGATATTTGCAAACAGCATACAGAAGATTCCCAGGCATATGAGTTATTTCTTATTCAAAGAACAAAGGAGTCAAAAAAACTCCCAAACCCAACATTTGTTAGGTCGTGGTCAATCCCGACTTATTTTTTAAGAGCACTGTACTAACAGTGTCATGGATCAGAAGGAAGTGGCATGTTTGTGGAAGAGGCAAAGCCTGTCATGGTATATGTAACACTTTACCTTTGCTGCTTCTCAGTTGCAAGGTAGGAGGAGGATAAGGCTTGCAAGCACACCACCTCTCACTCCTGATTCACACACTATTGCCAGCGTAGCTTAGTTTGGCCCAGCTCTTTTTGAGATTGCATTCGGTAAGCTCAAACACAATTACCTGACTTAAATTCATCTTGTTGGCTTTTGTAAGACTTTTTCCTTCGCATAATTCTTCAGAGGTCGCTTTGTTCTTCCTCCACCTTCTTGATCTCTTTTCTAAATCATAATGGACTTCTTCAGTCTCACTGCTGTCTGAATACTCCAAACTGGTTGCCTGTGGATTGAAATTTACATCCAGTTCTCCATGGAAGTGTTTTTTTTCCATTCTGGGCATATCACTTTGAGTTCTGCTTTGTAACCAGAGAAGTTTGCTAGGTCCTTTAGCTTCCTGGGAAGAGTTTACCGAAGATGTTTCAGAATCCGAGAACAGTGTCTCAGTATTGGTGTATAACCCAGAGGAAGGGGAGGTCACTGCCTGGTACTGATCATTGCCATAAACCCATTCAGTGCCATACTGGGAATTGGTATAATAGAAATCGTCTGGTAGTTGCCGAGGTCTCCGACGCAGCTTGTTCAAGGCCACATTCCAGTCGTAGTCATCCTCGCTGTCTGAGCCCATCTCATCATAGGCAGACACAATGCTGGATTCATTCTCCAAAGCTTCGAATACTTGGCTCTTTGGTTTGGCGAGCATTCGAGGACGAGGCAAAGTGACGTTCTGCAAAGCTACCCAGTTTCCATCAGTGCTTTGGAAAACAGAAGGCGGATCTTTGAAAACAAAACAAGAACAATTATTGCTACGCGATCACAGGCTGAAAGGCTCATTTTACTTGCCATTAAAAAGCACAATTACGGTCAAAACTGCTGTGTAACTCAGAGAAATGCATTTCTTCTAAATTTAGGCTCCATTTCAAATCAAATTTGAAAAGTCCTTTCATGGGAAATACGTGTGATGACTCTACCTCCCACAGAAGTTGAATAAATATATAATACCGTGGATTTACACAGCAGTCTCAGCCTACTGAATGAACTTTTCAGCCTTACAGATTCCTTTGTTCAAAATTGCCATTTCCAGAAAGCTATAGAAATATTAATTATAAACTATTAGTTCTCTAAAACTGTAAACAGAACATCACAATTTAAGAATGGAAGAAGTAAAATCTAGATAATATTGTAGATGATACCCAAGCATTGCTTGTATTACATGATTACACATACTTGGAGCTCAAGAAGATGACTTCTTCTCTGAAACTGTTCATAAAGAACATAAGTATGCAGTAAGAAGGTGTGCTCAATTTAAAAAAAAGTCTGTGGTGCACTGCTAACAATAAAAGACCCCCTCCCCCAAATGAAACAATAATTAAATGGTAATTAAACTCAGGAGCTAATAAAAATTTAGTAGAGTTTTTGTATTTGTTAATTATTTGAGTCCTTCTGGCTTGCTTTCACTTCCTAAATTTCATGCCAATTCAGAGAACTTGAGAAAATACATCACTGCCATAATGCTTACTCCTCCTTAAAAAGAAATCAAAATAGTTACAGATAATGATATCCCTTTATTTTGTTTAGCAACGACACATAAGAATTGGTCAAATGTCCTCAGTTAACTGAAAAAAGGACAGGACAGTAGTTGATTGCATCTTAGAAGGTAAGCAGGGTGGAAAGGAAAGCCACTGGGAACTGTATAGTCAGAAAGCTGACTCAGTTTTATCCCAGGTTCAAGTAATGTCAAATGCTCCCTCACTGATTTTCTAAACCAACGGCGTTTACTTGAAAAAAATGGATTTTGCACACCATTCTTTGGGTATATATTATAATTTATCCATGTGAAAACGAAAACAGATTTAAGAAGACTCATTGTGAAACTATTAGTAAAGGGGAAAATAGCACTAATTCATGATTTGGCTCTTGAGTCATCATTTAAACCAGTGCAAACTGTAATCAGAATGAATTGTGCACTGCATTTTGGCTACATGACTAGAAAGTCCACTAATGTTACCACTCCAAACTCTTGGTTGAGATTTCTTTGTTTTCTGTATCCTAATACAAAGCTGCTTTTTACGGCATAGGTAAGATCAGATTTACACATATTAGCACAATCAGCTATTTACTATAAGCTGAATAGGCACTGCAATTTCATCACAAATGTGGTTCTTAGATGAAAGAAGCAGAACAAATCCTCTGAGTAGAGCACCTGAAAGGAAACTGGGTCAATTTGTCATTCTGTTATGGTTGAGCGACTGTTAAGGACTAAATTGCTCAACAGTTGAATTCAACGGGATTGAAGTGGGTTCTTAAATTTAAGCACCCAATTAACTGCTTTACTGAAAACACGCCTTCCACTAAAATGCCCAGGAGAACACCAATTCTGGCAGGGAGTTGAATGAGCAGTCCACAAAGTAATGCATACTTAGTTTAAGTCAGATTTTAGTACTACATTACTATCACTTTTTTGGGGGAGGAGAGGTATTGACCAGCACCCCTGTGAGCCAGCTGTGGGAGTTACAGCATCAGTAAACACCCTACAAAAATGAAGTTATCTGCTTGGCTCATGAACCAATCTGCTACAGGGGTCAGATGGACTCCACAGGTGTAACAAGAGAAGATGTAGGACCAAACAGACTGTCATGGGAGTTCCACAGCAGCAGCTATGAACCTCATAACCTCATGAACAGTTAACGTGCAACAGAAGGGGTACTATGGGCAGCTGCAGACTCCTTCAACTGGAGGATAGATAAGCAGGTGACAGAGCAGGGCCTCTTGAGCACTTGTGTCTTAGAAGCTCTGAAATATATCCAAATTAGATGACTAGTGTTTCCTAACAGTGCAAAATCAACTCCCCAGAGGCCCAAATTTGGAATCTTTTCTTGGGCGGCAGGGGGGAAGGTAAGACGAGCAATGACACAGCCCAGTGAAATTGTGACACTCAGCATCACCAGCCATTTTCACACGTGACCCCTGCAAGCACAGAGGTCAGCAGAAATTCCCCAGGGAAGGTCCTTGCTTTAAGTCATAATTATTCCACATCTGAGGGAGAACCAGAAAAAGAATCATATTCGTACTAGAAATATTTACTTGTTTCATTTAGCCTGTCCACACTTTTCCAGCTGGGCAATGCGGAGAGCTTGTGTTCCTTCTGTTTCCTGAACTGTCCTTTTTGCTGCCTCCAAGGAGCTTCGGTCACAGCTGATGCAGGGTCTAGTCCTTTACTGGGCATCTCTTCACTAGCCAGGGAGAACGCAGACTGGGACCTCTGCGGGAATAAAAATCAAAGAGCATAATTTGAAACCAGAATTACTTAATTATCAAACTCTTTACTGTAATGAGTATTCTGTTACCCACAGAAGTATAGGACCTGCTAGCATCTAGAAATCAAATTTCATGTATTCAAAAGAATTTCTTCAGCACTAGATTGCTTATTTATGTGCATTTCTGATGCTATGCATTTCTGATGCTATGCAAGGAGGCAGGAAAGTGTTTATACTACCTTGGAGCAGATGGAAAGAAATAATTAAGGTGAAGTTGTTAGGAATGTGCTTGGTGAGGACTGATATCTAACTGCTTTGACTCAAGCTAGCCAGAAAGAGATCCCTTTGTGGTGAGACATGAAGAGCTATTGTTGGCTCAACAGGCCATCTGGTATAACAATTTCCAGAAGTTAAAAATTCAAAAAAAGCAGACAGCCTGTTCCCCAGAAACGTGCAACTCAACCGATTTTAATGCAGAATTCTTTTGTTTGCTAGGACATACATATCACACAATACGCTGGGCAGTTTTATGCAGTCTTGCCAATGAAGTCAACATCGCCTATAACTGCACATCTGTCTGTTTCCAGAAGGGTCACATTTCAAGGCAAAATGAGTTAAAATACTGTTGGGATTGTTAATGAGCCCTGACTACTACTGAGGGGAAGGTGTTTTCCTTTGGATCTACATAAATAGATCAGAAACCTTTGTTTTGACTTAGGCACTGGGGTCAGTTACAGAAGTCACAATTTGGCCAGTTTTAAAAAACTGTGAAAGTTGGCAGTGTCCTGCTGATTTCAGGAGAACTCACTCTAATGTATCACACCACAAATGTAATTTTAGAAACAAGGCTACAGCAGCTCAAGCCAAGTTTTAACATCTGGCTGACACTATTTTGCTGCAGCGCATTTTCTTTTTTTTTAATAAATAGCTTTGCTTTTGATATCAATTTTGCGCTCAGGCAGCTTGAATGCCAGAAGAGATCACTTTTTCAAGCGACAATTAGCTTTATCCCCATAACTTTTTATCACCCAAAGCCCCTGTCCCAGCTTTCCTAACAGAGCTGGTAAAAGGCCGCCTGTATACGCCAGGGTTTCATTAAGAAGTATGATTTCAAGTGGCTCACCTTCTTTACGCGGGCCAAGTCAGCACTCTCAAATCCTTGTATGTTTTTACTGATGTTTGAATTACAAATAATTAACTAAAACTGCTAATCTCAAAAGGGCCAGTCTTCATCTGCATCAGAGCTCTGCTTTGCACTGGTGCAGATGAGGAAAAGGATAACTTGTATTACATCTGTTTTCAAGTCTCTTCCATTCCCAGGACAGCACAAGCATTTCTGGGAGTCCTGACGGCTTGAAAGCAACACTTACACCCCTTTTCTGGCTGGACCTCCTCCTATCTGAAATGCTCCTGGGTAGGACCCGTGTACCATGCCAGAAGATTTAATTAACTGCAAATCTTCCTGTATCTTTGGCTCAGCAGTGTGATTTCATAACAGATTCAGTAAAAAGAAACACAGCTAAGCACCAGGGTTTACTTTGGCTTCTAAGGTCTGGAGGAAAATCCAGATTTATTGCCCTTGAATCGAATGTTTTTTGTAACTGCAACAACCATATACCTTGGTTAATCCTGTCCATGCAAAGACACAGGTGATTCATTGGAGCGCTTCCTTTCAAATGCAGTGATATGAACTAGTAACAATATGCTCATAGTACCACGTAATTTTATTATAGGGAATCTTCCAGATGAGTCACTTTCACAAACCAGCTACAATCAAGTGTGTATTTAGGCTGTTTCAAACCTCAAACTAGATCTTCAACTGACCGAGATCATCTGAACTCTCCTTAAACCTGTAGAAGGGTTAACACAACACAGACAGGGACATAAACGGTTTTGCCATAGGAATTTGCTCATTAAATTGGATTTCATCCTGCCAGGATATATCTGGACAATATAAACAATTCTGCCGCAGATTTGCAGCCTGAACTATGACAAATTTTAACCGGGCTGTGACTCACTTCACTTCATTGTAAAGCAAGAACTACTGAGCTTCCCATTCTTAGAATAAACTAGGTCCAGTTCGCTCTGCCGCATCCTCTCACATCTTCGTGTTAAAGTTGTTAGTGCTGAAAGCAGCAAGTTGTTGTGGCTGTCACTCTTTCACAGTACCAAGAATATTCCCTCAGGGCACATTCCTTTGCTGTATATGGCAAACACAGAGAGGTAAGAGATGCTGAAGAACCCAGAAGAAGGAATATGCTACAGCTTAATCACGAGTATCTATTTCCCATTATTACTTAAAGAACTGAATCCTAAGGAGAAGAAAAAAATCAGGAAAAACTTAAGTAGTCTGTTTAACAATAACCTGGTCTCAGACAATGAAAGTAACGTGGTTTTTCTTATTATGTAAGATCTGTAGGTGTGACAACTTTTCTGGTGTTTCGTTTAACTGGTAGCTTCTCGCCTGCCTACTCACCGTTTCATAAACACCGCAGCTCGCAGTGACGGCAGTGTCTGCACTCAGCTCGCAACTAACCGGAGACCCGCCAGCAGCTTAGCCCTGACACCGCACGTCTTGGCAGGGGCTGCGAAACCCGCTGAAGGGGCTCAGCCGCCCTGCCCTCAGACCCGGGCTTCCGCAGCAAGGCTGCTAACCAGCACTGCCCCAGCAAGTCAAACCTAGCTCAAGTGCGTCTGCGTTACAGGGCTGGTAGAACTTTCAGAAGGACGAGAAGATGCACAACAGCTTGAAGGATTTAACAGGAGAAGGCGAGCATGAAGGGCCTGACGGACAAAAAGCACTGACCAACAAGAGAGTGCAGGAAGGAAAGTAGACACACTCCCAGTGTTGTATAGCAGCCTAGGATCTCAAACAAGCTTATCCAAATAAGCTTATCTAAAACAAGCTCATTCTTCTAAATTGTGTGCTGAAACTTTTGGGTCAGGTCAGAGGGAAACTGCTCTCCACAGTTTCTGCCAGCTCTCTGTGGAGAGCAGGAAATTGGTGTTATGCTGGAACTACTGCTGATTCCCTGGGGGAATCCCTGGAATTTTCCTGGAAAATCCCTGGGGGATTTTCCTGGAAAAAGCAAGGGAAAAAGCTTTTGGTTATCTCCAAAGCTTGGCTTGAGGCCATCCTCATCCTTTTTCTAACACTTCATGTGAATTTTTGATACGATTTGTCTTGTACTGCTCTGCTAGAAGTACCACCTCCTTCCACTGAAGATGGTTCAATGTCTCAGAAGGCTCATGGAGAGAAAAGCAATGCCAAGCTAAAATAGCTTGACTCCACCCCCGCATTCAGATCCTGAAAAAGGTTGAAGCCATGTTACTGGAAGAGGCTGTTGAACCGGCACTCTTCACTGCTACCTTTGAAGTTCTCTGTAGTTTTGTGTCTGGAGAGATTTAAATCATCAAGAAGTGACAGTGTTCTAGCAAGCTCCAATTAAGAAGAATAAATAGAAGTAGAGGGTTGGGTTATTTCATGTTCTGAAAGTTAGTGTTAGATAGGAATGAAGGACAGATAGTAGAATTGTTTTACTTAGACAAGTATGAGAGGAAGGAAAGTGTAAATACTCATCCCTGATACCAGCTCAAATCACTGCTAACACCAATAACGATACAAAAAGGAGTGTCAATAGCGAAGTCTGGGGTAGGAGTAGGACAGAAGCAGATCCTGGCATGGGAACAAGTTGTTCTACATTGGCATTTTCAGAATAGAAAAGCAAATGTTTGTCCACAAGTTTATCTCCAATCAGTTACCTGCTTGACTGATGAGTCTATCTGAAAAGCAAATGTCTCCAGACCTCCTTTTGTTGCTTTTGCAATTAAAAGCAAACTAGAAAATTAGTTAGTTGGTGTGAGGTTACCCAGCAAAAGCTCTAATCTTGGTTGGCACATCTGCAACAACTTCAACTCAGCCAGCACCACTCACTCAACCATCCTACAACTGCAGCGTGGGTTGCAAACCTACGTACATGCTGGCCCATGGCGTGGCGTGACCTTACTGGCACGCTTACCCGTGCCAGGCAGCAGAATACACGTTACTGTGCTGCGTTTGTGCCTCCCTTTGGCACAGAGATAACACAGATCCAGAGGGGACATTTTCCCCTTGTGGATATTTGCATAGGAAGCACTAAACATAGGGGAATAGGATTGAGAAGCTTACTTGGGGGCTGGTGCTCCGTGTAGTTTCCCTGTGCATGGATGCAGGAAAGTCCTGGAGGTAAGACCAGCTACTCCGACAGGCTCTTGGATCGGTTCGCATTGGAACAAGGGATATTTACCGAACAAATGGGGGAGTCACGGCCCTGAATCTTGACCAACTGCCTACAAACTTGGACAGCAGCAAGATCTCAGGGCAGAAGAACCAATCCAGTCTATTTTCCAAAAGTATCCAAATAATACAGCAGCCTAAATAGCATTTTCAGAAGGAGGCAGGAACGTAGGAGCTTTGATCCTGATTTATAAAGACATGAGAAGTCAAGAAGATACTTCCCTCCCTTCCAGCTAAAGCTACCAGCACCTTTTCTGACGAGAAGTTCTCATTCCTCAGCAAACCCTCCACTGTCATACAGGTGCTACTTTAGGTATATTTATTTGTGATGAATTACAAGGCCATTCTGTATGTTTGCAGACACGAAGGTACTGCAACTGTTAGTTTCTGCACTAAATTAGTACATCAGCAGATGGCATTGCAACCCAACAGGTCATTTGCTGTGTTCACTGCACACACTCCTTGAAGGCATGTGCTGTACCCCATCGCTGTGCAGTACAGCACAGCTTGCAAAATATAGTTACAGTATTGACAGGCATTTCCGAACACTTCAGTTTGATGGGTTCCCCACCAAATCCTGCCTACTGGCATCTGCTCTGTTTGTTTCAAAAAGAAATTCCAGACACATTAATATTATCTTTCTTTTCTTTTTTTTCTAAATCCCTCTTTAGGGTATTTTTGCTGCATAGCTGTAATGTCTGGATGGAGGGAACTCAGCCTTCATCTTGT